ATCGCAGTCCTGACAAGCGCTGCATTGGGTTCGCACTGAAAATATCAGAAAGCAGAATTCTCTTCAGTTTGAGACCGAATTCGCGCAGGCAGTTCATCAGCATAGGAATTATGTAAAAGAGAACATAAGGATCAGAGCAGGGATTGAAGGGCCCATGGCGAGCTCCAAATAATAATATCGTTGTACTGACCAGTTTTCATGTTTGCCTCGGAAATTATCACATGTTGACCTTTTCCATTATCTTCCCTCAGTTTGACTTTTTTGTTCAACTTCTAGCAGTTGTTGGAAGACAGGTTTTGCGATAGGGACGAACTGTTGAAAACTTCGTAAGTAGCGAGACAAAAACAGAAGTGTTCCAGGCTTTTTTTGCCAGTGTAGTGATGGCTAGTTCGTGAAAGATGAATCGTCAGTACTCCAGGCACTCCTCATCGTAGGTGGTAATCGTGACATTCAGGATTAACCGGATTAGTTACTATAAACTCCAATGGAACGCGTGTTCCTTTGTTCTCTGTGTACGTCTTGGACTCAAACTTCAATCAAGTAACTACGATGAACTTCACTGTGATTGATGGAAAAACTGTGAGTTACCTTGGGAGCTATCATCCTACTGCTCTTAGATTGAAGGTCAATGATCCTGCTTCAGGTGATCTCAAAGGGCTACACAAACGAAGCAACTACTCTTTGGGCTTCTCGAGGCGGGCAGCGGTGAAATTGTCTTGCACTTTCCTGACTCTTCTTAGCTCTCAAACAGTCATTTTTACAGACCGCTCGCACGCCCCAAGTGTGGATACACGGGTGGCGATTGTCCAAAACCGTTCTGGGAGGACTACGGTACATACGTCATAGTTGCAGCATCGCTAGTTGGAGTACTGTTGGTTGCTGCCGCAATTTTCTTTGCGTACCTTATGAGGTAATAATATGCTACCTGTAGTTGTAGCCAAATCAATCAGCTACTTAGCTATCGTGGGTGCCTATCCCCCACGATTAAAGCAGAGGCTCGAAGGTTTCGTTGAGTACGTACTGGAAAAGTGAACTCCGTAGAAAACGCACAAAATCTCTTTGCTAAAATTCCAGCAAATTCATAGATTCTGTAGTGTGCGCTGTAACAAATTCCCATCCCTTCTCAAGGGTGGAGATTCATACAAAATACAGTCGTTAAAAAATTAGGACTAGTGTTCTAGATGAGCCCTGACAAATTTCGGGGGCATAGTTGAACTCAATGATAGTGAAAAAGGTCTGATTCTTTCATTCTTCGCTTCATCGTTTTCAATGCGTAATAGTGGTTCAGTATTCGCAAAGCTCCTTTGCGAGGTCTCCGCTTTTCAGGATTCGAAGGGACGAGCAAGAGCGGCAGCGCTTGTTATGGCAGATTCCTTACATGAGTCTCAGAAGGCCGCAGAAATCGGTACGGAATTTGACACGATTTGTTGCCATGATTTCTTGAAATGATTTCAGTTCATTTGAATTAGCTCTCTGAGAGTGCTCGAATACTGGGTTTTTTTCACCGCACGGCTTGCAACTTTTAAAGAGCTGCAGTCACACATTTCTGGCCAAAACTTGACTCAGCTTCACTAAACATAAATGTTCAGCCCAAAATAGCGGAATTGAAAAGAGAGTGGAAGATATAACCTACTTGTGACAACTACTCTAAGGAGTGTCAGCGTGTGTGTGTGCGTCCATCTCTCTCTCCACCAGATGCATCTGTGCCGCCCAGTAACGGTGGGAAATGCATAGCCGGTCTGGGACATTGGTTCCAAGAAGTGATGTAGGAGTGTAACTGGAACACTATAGGTTGGTGACAGGAAGTGATATCAGTGAACGGAACACATACAATCTAAGCTAAGCCCCGCCCACTGTGGCGGGGCGTGCGCACAGTTGTGAGCTACATATTTCAAAAATTCGTAGTTCGGTTCCAAAAGAGCCCCGAGAGTGGAAAAAGTGGCAAACGATAGGCAATCAGTTGGCGGACGAAATGAGTGAGACAAACCCATTCTGGGCGGGGCGTTCTATAGGTGGGCGGTGCTTGCTACGAAACTTTCAAAAATTCGCAGTTCGGTTCCAAAAGAGCCCCGAGAGCGGAAAAAGTGGCAAACGATAGGCAATCAGTTGGCGGACGAAATGAGTGAGACACACCCATTTGGGCGGGGCGTTCTATAGGTGGGCGGTGCTTGCTACGAAACTTTCAAAAATTCGCAGTTCGGTTCCAAAAGAGCCCCGAGAGCGGAAAAAGTGGCAAACGATAGGCAATCAGTTGGCGGACGAAATTAATGAAGCACACCCTGATGGGGGGCGTTCGCCGAAGTGAACGGTGCCGAGGACAAAAACCCTCAAAACGCATCCGAAAAACCCCAGGAAATGGGGAGTAAGGTGAAACTGAGCAATGGTTTGGCAGATGAAGTTAGTGAGGGATAACCGTAGGGAGTATACCAAATGGTTGGTACCGTCGCAATAGTTCATAATTCGGTTCCCAAACACACAAGTGTAGCATAATCGCAGTGAACGGGATATGTGCCACAGTGAATGGGAGTGAAAATCAAGGGTTCGTAAATCAGTATTTTATTTATTTGTTTATTTACCTACTATTTACTGCACAACAATTTAGGCAAATGCATATTCCTACTTCCGTTCATCCACTAATCATCCAATACCGACAGACCACACATTGACTATACAGTAGTTTCACAGTTGTTTACCATTGGGAGGGTACTTGCTGATCTCTATCCTACTATATATAAACGGCAACGTCTGTCTGTCTGTCTGTCTGTCTGTCTGTCTGTCTGTCTGTCTGTCTGTCTGTCTGTCCGGAAATTCGGAATCACCTGAAGAGCCAGTTGGAGGGGGTCAAGGGTGGGTGGGTAGGGCATGGGCCAAGATGTACGGAACACACATGAACTAAGCTAAGCCTCGCCCTGGGCGGGGCGTGCGCGAAATCAATGAAGCACATCCGTGATGTCCGGGCGTTTGCCGAAGTGAACGGTGCCGAGGACAAAAACCCTCAAAACGCATCCGAAAAACCCCAGGAAATGGGGAGCAAGGTGAAACTGAGCAATGGTTTGGCAGATGAAGTTTGAAGGGATAACCACTGGCCCTCATGTAGAAACTGTGGAGCCCTACCCACTTCACACGCGGGAATTGCCCGAAGAAGCCGGGCGATCCGAATGGCCCTCGTGTAGTAACTGTGGGGATTCGAGTGGTCAGTTGATAAGATCCGATAAGAATTAAAGGGAGAGGTCACCATATTCATAGCGGGTGACAGCGTCAGCTGACTCTTGATTCTAAGGTATGACATAGGGTATGGGCCAAGAACATCATAAGTGGTTCACGAACGTTTCAGCAAGTGATATGGAGGGTGAGATGGGGACATCAACCGTGGGCGAGTCCCCATCTCACCCTCCATATCACTTGCTGAAACGGAGGCGATAGTATCACCTGGTGAACTGGAAGCGATAGCTACTGATAGGGGCTTATAAGGGATATTGCAGTCGTCGTCGCGTTCAAGATAGGTCGCGCTACCTAATCATTGAGCTTTAGTGAGAGGTGTTGTGGTAGACCGCTAAATGGTTATGAGCTCACTGTCCTAAGTGATAAATCTGAGCGGTTGTTTACATTCATTGTGTTATGCAGTGATAGGTCATCTTGGGTCTATAAAAGACCCTCTGTGCGGTGTGTTGTCAATTGTCGTCTCGTGCTCAATAAAGCACTCTCGTCCGAAGTCTCAACACTGGCGATCAGGCCTCAGAAGAACACCCTGCGGAAGAAGTTCAACGAGCAGCCGTCAACTTGAAGAAACTCGACATGCCCAGTAGCAGCGTTCCAGCCACTTCAAAGGATGCCCCGAATGGATGGCTCACTTTCCTGACAGCGATCCAACAGCAGTTCCAGCAGCAAAACCAGCAGTTTAACCAGCTCCTAGCAGCACTTGTGGAGCAGAGGGTAGGATCTGCTCAGTCTTCTGAAACGCCATTTTCAGATGCCTATGGAGACCTAATGCGAGACCTACCATACTTCAACTATGACGAAGACGACGACTCAACCTTCAGCGCGTGGTACAAGCGATATGGACCGGTGATCGAGGAAACACGCTTTCGGAAGAACGTAAGCGAAACCTCATTATTGATAAACTGGACAAGGCAACCTACAAAACGTATTCCGAACACGTTTTGCCGTTGAAAC